AATTTCGGTTTGAAACATTCCAGAGATTTAAGGCAGTCTGACACTCCAAGCTCGAGTGCTTTGTAGCTACGTACAGAAGCGTTCCAGCTGCCCTTGTGTCCATGGTGTGGATGTTTGACGTGAAGACAGCTTGTTTATGGCTGGTTTTTTGCACACCAGCCAGTAACCATGCTAAAATTTTCTAGCCTACCAGGACTTCATAGACATACAGAAAATCAGTAGGCTTAGTACAAGCCTCTATGCATGGTGTCTAAACTGCCAGAGTGCCATAACACTACTTTGTACCAAGACTAGCCAAGTCAGTGTCTGTTATACAAATACATGCTCAAAATTTCATTTTAGCAACAAATATGCGCTGTTTCCATAATTCATAATTATTAAATGGCTTTCTACAGTTTTGTAAAGCAAAATAGGTTTTAGATACCCATGCACAACCAAGCTGTGGGAGATATTGCTAGAAATACCAACCAACTTTTCTGAGCTTTCTGTAGCTAAATCGTACCAGATTGGATTTTTTTTTCTTTTTTCTTCTTTCTCCAGTTGCAGAGATTATATAGGAAGTACCTTAGAGCAGAGAGCTTTAGAAAGGCTCTAGTTTATCAGAAGAAATATCTCTTGCTGCTTCTCGGTGGATTTCAGGACTGTGAGCAAGCAACCCTCTCTCTAATTGCACGTATGGGAATCTACCCCTCGCCTGCAGACCTGCAGCTTTCTGGGTCACGTTCCCGTCCGTTCACCAAGTTCAGATGTGCAGTCAGGGCAATCATCGCTGTATCAAGGTAAAGCCAAAACCCTCGCTGTCTCTCATACATGGTGTTTTCTTCAAAGTTTTAAAAATGGATAGTTCCTATGGTTTAGACTACATTAATATGAAGCAAAAGAGTCAGCACTAAGTTGGGTGCATTCTAAACTAAAGATTTATAAAAAGCTGCTTCTGTCTTGAGAGAGACCCAGCTGTGATATATTTGAGAATCAGTGCGCAGCAATCACAAACTGATGTCCTTTCAGGTCTGACCTGTATCTGTTTGGGCTCACTGGATAGTTTGTCTTGTATCAGAATGGGATCATGTCATCGGTGATGGTTTTCCTCTCTTGAGTTTCATGTCAACAAAGCATTTAATATGAAAATTTAGTGTATTTTTGCTTGTTTGTAATAATCGTACAAATGTGTTTTGTTACTAAGGTTAAAGTTTTTGGTGAAAAAGTGGAACAAAGTTAGCAGGCAGAGCGTGCAAGGCGAAACCACTTCTCACAGTATAGGAGGTAATACGGGTAAGCGTTTTGGACACGTATGTTGTTACTCTTTAGTGATGTGTTTCATTTAAAAACAAAACCAAAAAAATACTCACAGAAGTGGCAAAACATGTTTATATGATAACACAAATGTGTGTATCCATTTTCTGAGCACAATCATTTCAAGTTTAAAGGATATTGTAAGAAGTTACAACTGAAAACTTTCTGAATTTGTGACTTACAACAGTGGCAAGCTCCTCCTCTTCTCCCTTTACTGAAACTGCTCAAGCTGTGAAACCATTTCCTGTGTTCTTGAAACTCATCAGAGAATTTTGTTTTGTACGGTTTGAAGCTACCTGTGATGGAAATTAATGCCATGAGTTATTAATAAGACAAGGATAAACACTGTTGTACTAGTATTAAAATGGGTACTTGTGGTATCGGAATAAGTCTTAGAAGTGGTGAAAGAGGGTTTCAAGTGGTTCCAGAGGGTCAGAACCACTATTTTCCCATAACTGTTTTTTCTGGAGTTTATTACATGCTATCAAAATGTAGCGGATGGATGGCTGGTCTGATGCAGTTTGGTAAGGACTGTGTTCCTTTAAGTGACTCATGAATGTGTTGGTAAGAATTTGAACAAATATCTTAATGCAGTACCACTACTGTGGAACTGTTACGTGTTGTGTAATATTCCATTACTTGTGGCTTTTCAATACTAAATAAAACTCAGCTGAAATGGCACATTTTTTCATTACCTGGCAGTACATGATTTTCACTGTTCTAAGTTGCTGAAAATACTTCATTAAAAAAAACCAACCAACACACAGAAAAACAAAACAACAAAAAAACCCCTTTGTGGTGTGGTTCCTATGAAACTTGAATCCTGAAATGCATGCTGAACTTTCTACCTCACTACAGAATAGCATCTTGGCAGCCTCATTATAAAATACTTTATTTCTTTTTGTGATTTAAGGGACTTGTTAGAAGGGGTTTTTATTCTTCAATGAAAACAAAACACTACCACCACACCTCCCTCCAAAACCTTCACCAAACCAAACAAAAAAATACCCTCCTTTCTTGGCTGTCTCTAAAGCTGGAGAGTAGAAGTCAACAGTAACATATGGTTAGAGCAAACACAATAAGTATTACAGTTTCTTGAAAAGATATTTTGCTTATACCAAAGTGGCCCCTGCATGGATATAGCAACAGCTACTGAAAAAGCAAATCTGGAGAAAGAAAACAGTGCAAGTTCTCCATTTGCAGGATACAGTTGTTTTGCATTAAAACTTTTTGTTGAATCTGGTTAAAACAAACCACCAAACGAAAAAAGCAGTTAGCTGTAGAAAATTTTAGCTGCATTTAAAACCAAGGACAATTGTACTCTGCTGTAATTCTTGTGGGCTTTATTGGTTGTGTTTATGATAGCCTGTTTTGATGGTTCCCAGCATATATTTTTAAACTGTTTTGTATTTGACACAGCCTGTGGTACTAGAACAGACATTCTGAAAGAGCAGCACCACCCAGTCATCCACCTCAGCTCTCCCCCGACCCGGGACATGGGGCTGTGCTACAGAACCAGCTCTGCAAGATCCATGAGCCGCTCCCCAAAATCCTCGCACTGCTTACATACCAGGTCAGACCTCAGTCTCTGCCTGTGTTTAATCGCCCCCATCCCATCGGGGGGGACAGTCTCGTAAAAATGTAACCACTTATTGGAGGAGATACTTGAACAAGAAGGGGAATTTTGTTTTCTCAGGTCTGATGAATGCTTGCTTTCTTTGAAAATGCTACAGGAGAAGAAAACTTCTTGCTTGCTTTGAGCATGTCTGACGTTCTTGGACTGAGAGCACTGAGTGGTGTTCCTCAATTGAATTTGGACAGGCTGCAGGATTTACAATGGCTATATGATAGCCTTCTTTGAGGGGTAATTCTTGTTGCCTTTGGCATCCAAGTTGGAGATTAATTTTTGAGCATCCTGTGGAAGCTGCTTCCCTGCCATATGACAGTGTTGCACTAATATCAGCTGCCTGCAGACTTGGTGCATGCAGTGCAGTTGCAGTTTTTAATGTACTGTGGCCAATTCTGTGCAGAAATACAACCCCAGCAACTTGTTGCTGGGTTGGATGTCACAGGTGACATTCTGCACGTCACAGGTGACATTCTGCACAGTGCTGCTAAGACAATGCCCGAGCTGCACGCTCCACATTTGAGTTGGAGAAAGGTGACCTTCAGTCATTACTGACTTTCCCACTCCCAGGCTCTCCTAGGACCCAGAGTAACCTTAGATCTTCAAAGGCCATTACAGGGTGTAGTGTCTCCTCTCCCAACCACTCTTCATGTGTGGCTTTATCTTTAAAGTAAGGGTTTGCAGGAGTTGATGTGGAAGGCAGCTGTGCTCAGTGCCATCAGCCTGGGACATGTTTGTTTCTTAACCTTCTTACTGCATTAGAAATTTGAACCAGCAGGCAAGAATTTTCTTCATAAACAAAAAAAAGAGTAGCAAGGAAGTAGCTGTGGTGATCTAGAGGTATGATCCACATTATTTTAGGTTTTTTTAACATTGCTGACTGATTTGGGGGACAGGACAGTGGTCATCATGAAGGATAGATAGTGTTCTCGTTTGCAAATAATTTAAAACATTTTGGAGAGTTAAGAGACCTGCAAGCATTTCCCAAAAGACTTAATTCTCCCTCACTGTGTTCCTCTGTCATGGCATGTATCTGGGTCCAACAGCCAAAACTAGTAGCTGGCATCTTACCTAGCAAGAAAAGTAATCTGTGTTGTATGGAACAAGAACATTAATAATCGTAGGCCCCGACTGATTACTCAGGGTGACTGGGTTAGTGGTAGCTCAAGTCTAATGTGCACCTGAGAGAGGTTAAACGATGCCTGATGCTGCTTTTGTTTCCTGGCAAAGTTATACAAAGGGAAGGGATGGATGGGAACTGCCTTCTGCTAATCAAAAGGTGCAGCTGAAGGAATAAATCCTTACTCCAAATAGGAGCGTGTTTGCACAGTGTCTCCTCCAATGTGTGTTTCTGCTAACATTTGAAATTTATTGTTAATGTCCAGAAAGCAGACACAGCGTACCAGCTGAAGGGTCCCCTTTTTCAGTCTTGTCCTTCAAGAGACCTTTTTACCTGCTGACCAGGAGAGTACGTGCCTGGATGCAGCATGCTTCAGGCCTTCTCCACAGAGGCGAGTCTCTTCTCACTTGGCTGTTTGGACTTGTCTCTGACTGCAGCTTTCTTATCAGAGGGACTTAGTGTTGCATTTCAGCAGAGAGATTCATAGATACTCCATAGATTCATGTATACTCCAGCTTTTATCAAAATATCCATACAAAGCTGCCAGGTCTATATTGTTTTATATCTGATTTTTTGGTGGTGGTTTTTACTGTTGTTCTAGTTTGCTTTGCATTGAATTACTGCCAATATGAATGTAACGTTATTATATTTATTTGAGAGCGTGTCATGAGAAGAAGAAAATGATTTGTTTTCCTTTTTAAGATTGCATCTATCCGCAAGTTCAGCCTCGGAGAAGTCACTTGCACCGACTCAGGATCCTGAACAATCGCTGACAGAATACATCCATCGCTTGGAGGTTATCCAGCAAAGACTAGGGGGTGTGCAACCAGGTAAGAACAACCCTGTTAGCCCTCAGGGCTGCCAGCAGTCCAGGCTGTTTTTTGCAAGGTTCTACCTATATATTACCTATAACACATACAAAGAGCATAATTTTAACAACTAATTATAATTATTGGAGGGGAAACTAAGTCTGCTAAATGAAACCTTATTGTGAATCATATCTAAAACTAGTCCAAGTGTGGCATTTCTCAAAATAAGTTTAGTTATAGTCTTCAGAGATAAGGCTGAATAATTTCACGTGATTCTTCCCTTAAAAAGCCTAAATAAGCAAGTGTTGCAGTTTAAATGAAGTTTTGTACAGAGTTACTTTGCTTTAAAGTCAAAGATAGCATCATAATAGCTGAACAGGGCTTTCTGTGCAGCACAAACTATACTTCCCTTATTTATTGCTTCCGTATTTTCCATAGCAGATTAAAAATAAAATTGGAGGCTGGTAAAAACAGGCATTTAGTTCTAAGATTGACTGAAGAGCACACAAAGGATTGTAGTTCCACCTAATCTTTGCTATTTAAAACACTTCCACCTAATTTCTAGACTAAATTTACTTAGTTTAATCTCTGAGTTACTCGCTCTTGTTGTATCGCAGTTACATCACAAAATTCCTTGTCCCAAGGAAGAACTTACAAACTGTCATCGCATCATCCTCAAATCATCTCCTATCAAGATATGATTAGATGTGTGTTCCAATGTTTTTTTTTATTTTTGAGACTCACGTCTAAGCCTTCTGCAGTGTGTTAATATCTCTGGATTGTAAAATCAGAGCTGGACCTCCAGCTGCAGTGCCATTTTTGGATAGTGTGCCAGATACAAGGGTACCTTGATCCTTGTTTATTCATGTAACCATTGTGTCCAGGGGCAGCTTCCTGCTCCTGCCTTCCCCACCGCAGGGCAGCAACATAAATCAAACAGCAGTGTAATATTTACAGTATCCACACAGACGCACGTACAGTCTGCTCACACAGCCAGTGCCATGGCTGTGCCAAGGAAAGTTGTACTCCTGCACACTAATCCTGGCAGGTGACTATGGGTGGGCACTCATGTTAGCTCAAATCAGAGACAGTGATGGGATCACGATGACTGTGGTCCGCATCAGGGTAGAGCACAGAGCTTCATCCCAGGCCCAGGCAGAAGCACAAAGCTCCAGTGGTGCCTCCTGTGTGGAGGCTCTGGAGAAGCCTGCTGACAGCTGCAGGATCTTTAGAGTTTCTTCCCCAAAGCTTGCTTCACCCATCCAGGTTTATGTTGCTAGCTCCCAGGTCTGAGCTACTATGGACCACCAGGTTAGGTAATGCCATGGATGTTTTCATCCAACCTTTATACCTTCCATTTGCTGTTGCTGGATCCTTCCCATGTTCCTGCTGGCTGCTCATACCCACAATCATTTTGTGTCAT